TTTATAATCAAATGTGCCTGTTTATATGTTTTGTTTTTCTCTTAAGTACTACGTTATATCAAGAACAAATTGCCATATTGATGAAATGCACTTTTCCCTTTAGGATTTATTTGCACAATTTTTTCAGGTACCTAGAACAGAGAAGGATTGGTTGTTTATTGCGAAACAGTTTGATGAACTGTGGAATTATCCTCACACACTAGGTGCAATCGATGGAAAACACGTAATAATACAGTGTCCAATAAGAAGTGGCAGTGAATTTTTTTCCTATAAAGAGATGTTTAGCATTGTTCTTTTTGCACTTGTTGACGCAAATTACAACTTCATGTTTGTCGACGTAGGCTGTCAAGGTAGAATATCAGATGGAGGGGTGTTTGCCAACACAGAGTTATATAATAAACTGGAAACAAAATCTTTACGTTTACCTCAGCCTACACCTCTAGTTAATGGCTCAACAAAATGCATTCCATATTTCATCATAGGAGATGAAGCTTTCGCTCTGACTGAGTATCTAATGAAAGTATACCCTGGGTTTTATCCAAAAGGGTCTAAAGAACGCATTTACAACTATAGGATTTGCAGAGCACGCAGAATTGTTGAAAATGTTTTCGGTATAGTGTCATCAGTTTTTCGAGTTCTTAGAAAACCAATGCTTCTGGAACCTGAAAAGGCAGAACTCGTAGTTATGACAATCGCTTGCCTTCACAATTTCTTAAGAAGGCAATCAGCAACGATCTACACTCCCCCTGGAACTTTCGATTATGAAGAGAACGGCCAGCTAATCAGAGGAAGCTGGAGAGCACTTGAAAATGAAACTCCCACGTCTTTACTTTCTATCAGAAGAGTGCCTAGGAAGTCATCTTTGAAAGCAAAAGAAATCAGGCAGGAACTAACAGATTATTTCGTTAATGAGGGAAGAGTTGAGTGGCAAGAGAAATATGCGTAGAAACGCCTATGATTATCGTGAGGCTATTATGAATTTTCATTTATGTTTATGAATTAGTGCATACAATAGTTTATGAGTTTATGAATTATCATCACTATCAAGTACGAACACTTAGATTATAAACTAAAATTTATTATTTAAATTTAAAGTAACTATAAACCTTCAATTTTTCGAAATACTTACAGTGTTAATAGTTCGACGGGGGGTGTTTTTGTCCAAGAGGAACTTTAAGCTGTCAAATGCAAACCATGTACTCTTATAAATTTCGTCTGCACCTTTAAAAATATAACAAATTATAGTTAGTTAGGTATGGTTATAGTTTGTGTACGAAAAGTTACTATATATATATATAGCGATAAATAGTATTACTTATAATTAATTGTAATTGAACTTTCTTCATGAATCACATAAAACTTATGAGGCAACAGAAGAAACTCATTTTCCTGGGAAATCACAACCAATTCATATCCGCTAAAATTGTTTTTTTTACAGAAAAATATTTGCATTTATCAAGTACTTACCTTTCCCCGTACCCATGCTCTTTCTCATTTTTTATTTTTCTCTTCTTAAAGCAGAAAGAAGATATTCCATCTTCTTTTTGCAATGCTCGACCGATATTCCAGTGTCACGCGCGATTTCCTCCCATGCATCATTTTTTTTAAGCGATTAAAATGATGCGGATTTGTTGCACTCCAAAGAATAGATTTTTCTTTATATACATTTATTAAATCAAGTACTTTGTCTTGCGACCACTCCATTCTGACATCAAGTAACCGCCAGATACGAAGCAACACGACTGAATAGCGAAAGCGATGCTGCCTTGTCAGATGTAGAGTCCTTGTAGTAAGAGTCTGGCAAGGGTTGACGCAAAATGGCGTCTGGTCTGTTCGTTATCGCTGCATTACTGCACTAGTGCAATTAACTAACTGCACTAGTGCAGTAATGCAGCGATAACGAACAGACCAGACGCCATTTTGCGCCAACCCTTGCCAGACTCTTACTACAGGGACTCTATACAGGGTGAGGAAAAAGTACCGGACCGGTGAAATATCTCGACAAATATAGGAGATACGGAAAAATGTTTCAGACAAAAGTTATACGGTTTTAAAAGGGCTATGCCTGTGTCCAGCAGAAGTTTGCGCTTGCTAAGCGCTTTGCGTTCATTGAATTATACTTTCAGATCTGTGCTGAAATAGAGCTATTCTTCTAGATCTATCCAATCAGCATAAAGCGCTTATTCTTAGCTAACTTCGGCAGAACACAGCCTATACAGGGTGAGTTATAACATTGGTCCATGAATTCGTGAGAAGGTAGAACGGATCGAGATGAACAGAAAAGTCCTGAAACATTTTGCAATTTTCGCAATAGTTAACGAGAAAAAAATTATCGAAAATCGTCGTCTTTGCCCTGCCCACTATCCAATTCGAGCGCGTAGCGAGATGTGACCGCCCGGCGATCGATATTGCCCGGCGAGGGGGGGAGGGGGGGGACAGCGCGCCGTTGCCGGCGAGTTGTTTACGTCGCCGCTCCCGCGCCTCGCCGCACCGCGTCTAGACTCGCATCGCGATGGCCGGTTACACATTCGCGATTAGAGACTAGAAATTAATAAAGCGAAAGAAATCGATGGAATCTACAGATATTCTAAACGTTTTCTATCGAAATTCGTCGCTTCAATGTATCAAATGCAAAGGAAATCACATCGTTTTCTATCGTTCTTTGTTATGGGAGTTTTTAATCGTTG